GGATGATGATTTTTCTTATTTTCTTTTGTTTAGCCTCTATTACAGATACTACTGGATTATGATCCGAACCGATATCAGCTTCAGGGTAAGTTTTAGTAGATTTCACGGCATTACGGGCATTAATTTAGCATACCATTATGCAGTTGCAAATATCAAGTCTTATCCACCTTCTTGGGACCAAAAAAGATACCTGACAAGGAATGGCTGAGGCAGTTTTTTAGAAGACATGAAGATTTATTACTTCGTAAACCCGAACCTACAAGTTTGGCCAAATCATCGGACACCAAGATCCGACAGAAGAAGACAAGTACACAGGGCTTCCCAGACCGTTATCCAGTGAAATCCCTGTGATAAAGAAAAATAAATCAGAATAAAATCAGGTATCAGAATAGGCACATGGAATGTGAGAAGTCTCTACGAGCCTGGTAAGATACAAAACGCCATACGTGAGATGATAAGGCTTCAATATACCAGTTCTTGGATAAGCGAAATGCGGTGGCCAGGACTGGTAAATGTAACATAGATGACCACGATTTATTCTATTCCGGAGAAGAAGGCACTAACCACCGGAATGGCGTCGCATTCATTGTACATAAAGAAATATCTTCCTGTATTAAATCTAATTACATTTCGGACAGAGTCATCGTGATGCAATTAAACTCAAAACCAGTAGATATAATTATTGACGTTTCAATTTCCACTTCGGAAATCCGAAATGGAAAAAATTTTGAACTTGGACAACGTAATGACAGACCCATTTGTAGTACCATGAATTCTCCTTGTAGTGAACTTATCAAAATTTTTATTAAATATTTTAAAACCATTTACAAATAAAAATGACACATTCATAAAAAATACACAACATTTTTTTAAATAAATTATCAAATAATTGAATTTAATTCAAATAATACTTTGGTGTTGACATAAAAAGTTTATTTACGAATGTGCCATTAAATAAGACGTTAAGTATAGTCAAGACAAATTAGAGAGTGATGATTCATTGGCAACTAGAACAAGACTAAACATATCGGCTATAATGGAGTTATTAACATTATGTACTGATAATACATATTTTTAACTAAATAATGAATTCTATAAACAAAATTTTGGTCTAGCAATGGGCTCTAGTTTATCTCCATTCTTAGCCGATATATTTATGGAAGATTTTAAAACAAATATCATTTCTAAACAACATTTAAAACCCACAGTGTGGTGGAGGTATGTAGATGATGTATTCTCAATATGGCCTCATGGATCAGAGTTGTTGGACACATTCCTAATTGATATAAACGATAAAGAAGAGACAATAACATTTACCATGGAAAAGGAATATAATAACACGCGACCTTTCCTGGATGTTTTAATCTCTAAGAACGATACTGGATATGAGACTCAGGTGTATAGAAAACCAACACACACCAATAGATATTTAAATTTCAAATCAAATCACAATATTAATGTAAAAAAAGGGAATAATTAAATCCTTATTCGATAGAGTCAAAATTACTTGTTCTAACGAAAATTGGTTCTTGGAGGAGAAACATTTGTTAACATCTGTTTTATTAAAAAATGATTATCCTTTATCGTTTATAAATAAGGAATTTTCAACAATCGATCGAATAGAACAGAACAACTTAGAACGAGATCCTACAGCATACACAAGGAATAATACGAGGGAAAATAACAATACCGTACATAAAACGATTATCAGAAAAACTTAAAAGGATAGGAAATAAATTCAACATTTCAACAACATTCAAAACAACAAACACATTGAGATCTATTTTGTCCAAAACCAAAATTAAAAATTAACAAGAAAGGACAAAGAACTGCATTTATAAAATACCTTGTGAATGCGATCAGTTTTATTTAGGTGAAACATCAAGGCCATTAAATGTTAGAATAAGTGAACATGAATCTTATATTAAAAATAGAGAATTTGATAGATCTCAAATATGTAAACACGCATGGGATAATGAACATAGAGTTCAATGGAATAATTTCAAATGTAGTCCTAAAAGAAACGGATGGTAAAAAAAGAAAAATCAAATAAGCGGCTCTAATTATGCTACATGAGGCCAATTGTGTCGCAAATTCCTCGGTAGAATGTAGTAGGATCTGGTTACCAATATTGAAAGAGGAAGTTATTAATAAAAAAATACCAGTATTAGTAAGTCAGTAACATATAAGTATAGAGGATACATTATTATGTTTTTTAAATAACGAAACATATAAAATCAGAATTTTGGTGTTTATTGAAGGTGAACTAAATGCACGAACAAATACTTACCACGTCGAGATACTATATATAAGGTTTTTTTCCTGGTTTTCCCCTCATAATTTACTATGGAATCACTAACAGGAGAATTTTTTCTGTCATCATGTCATGTGTTTGTCTTTTTAAAAAGACGAATTACATGCTATGATTTTTTTCTGACGTATATTCTCAAGTTAAAGTTGATTTCATGTAATCGAATGAACTATCTTATAAGTAAAGTCGTCCCAGGAGCGCAACTCAACAATATTGGCAATATCATTTTAAAGTCGTCTACTTTAAAATGCATAATGTATGTCTGAATTGTCAATATAAATGAGTCAGATAAAATTAATATATTGGAAGAATTTTTCACTATGTAACAAAAAACAAAATTTGTTTAATTTAATGTCAGTAGATATAAATCTGGTCCAAGTTTATGCGCCCACAACCAGCAGTAGTGAAGATAACATAGAGAATTTCATATAATGATGGGGGACTTTAATGCCAAAGTAGGAAAAGGTAGACAAGGAAACCTTGTAGGGAATTTTGGACTTGGACAACGTAATGACAGAGACCGTTTGTAAAATTCTGCGTAGAGAATAAATCTTTGTGTGACAAATACATTCTTCAAACTATCCAAGCGTCGTTTATGTACTTGGAAGTTACCAGCAGATACTAAAGAAAAGATCATAAGAATTCAGATCGATTATATAACAATTAACGAAAGGTACCGAAAATTTAATCAAAATAACTAAAACACTACCTGGAGCCGATGTCCCCTTAGATCATAACTTATTAATTAGTAACATACAACTCAAACTTAAACTAGTAAAATGCCAACAACCGACTAACCGAATAAACACTGACTCTGATACTGACTGTATTTAAAATAATGGTCATGAAATTACACAAGAGATAAAAAAGAAGTTGCAAAAATCGAAAGAAACACATAACGTTGAAGATCACTGGAATCATGTAAAAAGCATTATGCAAGAAACAACTAAAAGTATAAAACTATTAATAATTGCAAACAACAATGGATGACTGATAAAATATTGTGACTAATGAAAACCAGGCGAAAACAAAAAAATAAAAACACTGAAGAATATAATAAAATTCATAAAGAAATCAGAAGAAAAATCCGGGATGCAAAGGAAAAATGGTACAGCAACAAATGTCTTAAATAGAAGAACTGCAAAAAAAGAATGTCACGTTTAATATGTACAAAAAGGCGAAAGAAATAACTGGAACATATAGATCAACTGCAAGTAGTTTACCTGATAAACAAGGAAATATTATAGTCAATGAACAAGACAGATTAGAGAGGTGGAAAGAATATATTAAGGAGCTGTTTGATGACGATAGAACAGAAATTAAAATCAAAAATATATCGATTGCTGGTCCAAACATAACATTTGATGAAATGGAAAGAGGTATAAAGCTATCAAAGAATAGGAAAGCAACTGGTCCAGATGAAATTCCAAGCGAAATAAACAAACTGCTCGACGTTAAGGGCAAACATCCCCTTCGAAGCATGTGATGAATATGGGCTTAATACTCTAAGACAAAACTTATGGTTGTCAGCAAAATGGAGTTACAATCAACAAACATTAGAGCGTATGGAATAGAGTTAGAAAGACTCCACAATATTACCTACTTGGGTGCAAACGTTAACGATATCTGAGATATAAATAAAGAAATAAGAATACTCATTGAAAAAGCCAGAACCGCCTTCTATAAATTAAAGAAAATTCTAATTAATAGAGATTTTACGTTAAACCTTCAAATCAGATTAATACGCTGCTACATATTCTCGACATTGCTCTATGGTATGGAGAGCTGGACCCTTACAGAGACATTAATGAAAAAATTAGAGGCCTTTGAGATGTGGATTTATCGACGAGTATTGCGGATATGTTGAATTGATCGAATAAGAAATGAAATAGTTTTTACATCGAATAAAAAATAGCACAGAAATAACAAAAAACATATTTTGGTCATGTAATGAAACATCCAGAGAGGTATAACCTTTTACAACCTCATAATACAGGGTAAGATCGCCGGAAGGAGAGGCCCAGGCCGACGAAGAACATCCTGGCTCTAAAATCTCCGAGAATGGCATCAAGATACCACCGCTAATTTATTTAGACCCGCCGTAAACAAAGTTATTATTGCCAATATGATCGCCAACGTTTGATAATCGGACAGGGTACTGAAAGAAGAAGAATAAAATAAGATTATGAATATATATTTTAAACATTATATTTAAACGCAAATAACTTAACTTACTCTATCACATTGAGGCAAAAGGATAATATGTCACGTAAAACGGAACGAAGAATAAAAAACATCCTGAAATGATTATAACGACAGGGTCGTAGATTGTGAGGGGGAGAAGGAAGTATATAACCCAATAGCACGCCTCTGGTAATAGCAAAAAATAACTGTTTGTCAAGTTTAAACAAAAAATATTGAAATATTGGAAGGTGTTAAAACAATAGGCTAAAATCATTTTAGAATATTTGTAATAAAACACTTTGTATCTGGGTAAGGAGGAATATTTTATTTAAGTGTTGTAGGTTAAATTTTCTTATTTTGTGCTAAAGTTTCTCCAGTTACTATAAGGACAATTCTTAATGAAACATTCTGTATATGTTGTTACATAAAGTTACAAAAGATGAACCTGATGAAAAGGCATTTAAGGCACCCTACATTAATATAGCGAAATAGTAAACTTATTTACCTTGTATGGGTAGAGCAAGTAGAACCATTCCAATTCCAATAAAGGATGACACTCCAATCTTAGTATATAAAACATAGCAGAGTACACAGATCTGTACGCATCCACTCCATATATCGTTTATCATCCAAATCGAATGTTGAAATGTATAAACGTCTTTTGTTATTAACGTTACCAAGTTTCCCAAACTAATTCTTGCAACCGCTGAAGGCGTCAGTTTTAGAGCTTTTCTGTATAAAAAGGCAGAGAACGATGTTCGTATCTCAATTCCCAATTTCTCAGCCCATAATAGAGCATTATGGGAATATACTGTGTAAAGTAGGTTGTTAAGTAATAATAAAGCCGCCCAAAAATAGGCGTCTTCTTTAGTTTGATTACTTGTTATGTCAAAATAAGAGACCAGCTTACTTACAGCAAGTGGATTCACAAGACTAAAAAATAAAAATACCAAATTAGTACTTGTTAAATAGTTAATGCCATTTTGAAATTTACCAGATTAAAAAATATAGGTTAAATTCCACAATTTTATAGGACATACTATGCATTACATTTTAATAATGCAATATAGAGCTGGTAGTTCTATCAAAATAAAAGAATCTATTAGACATCATTAACAAATTAGCTACAAAACAAAAACGTTTCAAACTACTTCGTAAGTATTAAAACAAAATCTTTTGAGATTATTGTTACTGCTGTCTACTCTCCACTAAAACATAGCATCACCACCACGGGAAAGAAACTTTTAGAGGCCGTTAAGCAATTAAAATGCGAAATACTTTCAACAGGTAAACCGACATATTAGCCTACTGATCCCGACAAAATTCCATACCTGATTGATTTCTTGATAACTAAAAGTATTTTCATTAATTATTTACGTATTAAGGAAGCATGGGACATGAACTCCGACCATTCTCCCATCCTTTTCATGGTGATTAATACTGTAATTCAAAATCAGCCACGTCATAAACTAGTTGATTCAAGATTTTTGCAATTTCTTTTCCGACTAATAACAAAACGAGAAACTTTCTTAACCAATTATTTTTTATTTCAGAATCAAAGTTCGTCAAATATTGTGTCGGATTGGGGCGTATTTGTTGGCGCTTCGAAAGATTTTGATTTTAATGAGGATATCGTTGGTTGAACAATAACTCATTTAAAGAATTGAAGGACAAAGGACCACCAGCCAAGGGCTGGAATAAAAAACAGATTAAACACTAACTTATATTTAATGCTAAGATTAAATAGTAATTTCTGATAGCGGTCCGAAAACACAGTGATATGGTATATTTCACTAATTTTTACTATATAACACCATAATTACAAGTATAATTGCTTAGCGGAATGTCGTTTCTATGTTCAAAGCGAACTACTGGCAACACTGCTGGTTTGAATAAATAAAATGTTTGTATGAAAATATAACTCCGGTTTTAGGAACACAGATTACTATGAATGATTGGCTTGACTATTTCACTCATCTTAAAATTTTCACATAATCTGATCAATCACAAATCAAAGACAGCTTGTATTATCGCGAAAACACCAACTGTCTTTCAATTCTGATTGGTCTATCAGCTTCGTGTTTTCAACGACGTAACCATGCATATCGATCGCAAAGCAAAGTTTGACGTTTGCCAAAAAAATTATTGTAGCTGTATACGTCAAAATGAGTTGTTTCGGTGCATCGAGTTAGAATCTATGGAGAAGCTATGAGCATATTAACGTATGTATTAAAAACGGCATAGGTAGGAGTGGCCAACGATAATACCAATATGGCGGTGACATCAGGTCCAGACTCAATAATAATAAAACTACTATACAAATATGACTAGTTATTCAGAAGATTTAATCATAATCTAAAAAAAAGAGGTTAGTCTTCGTAAGTGGGTATATTTATTTAAAAACCCTTAAAAGGGCTACATCAAAAAAACAAACGTTTTCGGACTAAACAGTCCATCATCAGGTTTTAAAATCGCTAGGTTAAACTGCCTGAGCCACCAAAAATACATGGGTAAAAACCCTTTAAATTACATATAGTTATAAAAGATTATACATCTTGTTGTTAAAAAACGTGATGTTCAGTATTAATTAAATATGACTTCAGGTAACATACATTGCAAAAATTGAGTTCCAGAGCCGGGGAGGAAAACCTCTACGCACGGAGAACAGCTGGAAACTGAACTGGAAACGAGCTGGACAAGTTTAGACAAAAAAAAAACAACAACTATATATTATTGGAAATATTCTGAAATTTATTGGTCTGAAGAGATTGTGATATTTTGCTAATAATGAACAGTGTGCAAAATGAGACCAACTAAACAAAAAATTAAGGCAAGTTAGAACCAAATTTACTTTGGTTTACTTTGATTATTTATACCAGGATGTGCTTAGGGAACTTTTGTAATAAACGTTTGTATTTTTATATTTTCTACTACGTGAATAATCAAAAGTGTCAATCAAAAGTCAAAAGTTACTTTGTGATGGATAAAACGGTATTAAAAAAAGTTAACATTTTCATTTCCTATAGCTAAGTATATTTTTATGTATATGTATACTGTTGCGTTACGAGTATATCCAATTTATTTCGGCTACATAACTAGATGAACCTGGACCACGGAACTATTGGTAATACAAGGAAAGGTAGAAGGCCGAAGACCAAGAAGAAGATCCCAACACGATGGGCAGACCAAATGAAGTCTCGTTTGTGGGAAAATCTCTACATGAAAAAGTCCATATGGCACAGGATCGCAGCCAATGGAGGCACAAGCCAATAATACTCGTATTTAAAGTGTCACCACGCCCTGACAAGGGCTCAAAGAATGAGGAGGAGAGGTACTGTTGGATACCACAACACGGTCAAAGTGTTAAGGTATTTTATATTATTATATTATGCTTTTTATAGATTCTTTTATTAATAATTTAAACAAATAAAAGTTTTATTAAAGTGATCAATTAACGTTCTATTCTATCTATAACAGAAGTATTAAATGATAAAAAAAACCGGACACATTGTCTTATACAAACGTAGAAAATAACAATTTTTTTAATTGTAAGACGTATGACAATGATAATTTTTTATGAAATTTTAAAAATATTTAAGTGACTTACCTAGTAAAAATTTTATAACCTAAGTCTATGATACCTATTAAGAGATACCTCCATCCGAACCTGTGCCATAGTACTTTATAAATTGATTTAGATGATTGAATTTCATTATCTATAGCCCACTGTTTCTCAAGTTTGTCTCCACATTTTTTTGATTTACATTCTTTAATTATTTCATACAAATCTTCTTCCTCCAAATTATTTTTAAATCCTTTGTGGAATAATTCTTTGGTATAGCTAAAAATAAAGTTATATATATATATATATATATATATATATATATATAATATATATATATATATATATATATATATATATATATATATATATATATATATATATATATATATTAATTTTATATTAAGAATTTTAATTTTAAAACTTTACAAAAATATATATAAACAAATTATTTAAATTTTTGATTTATATCACACCTTTCAATTTTGTTATCTCAGGTTTTACTCGTGCTTCAATATCTATACTTTTAAGCTGATGGATTAGGTCCAAAGAATAACGGAATAAAACAACATAATATGATATGAAAATAATGTAATAAAATAAACTGATTAAAATACCTCCAAAAATTATTAGCATCAAACAAAAATCGTTCTACGTGTTCTACGTACGTGAACCTTCAATAATGCATGAATAATATAATACATAATAATAATAATAAAACAGAGGAAAATGCAATACTTGGGTCATGTGTTGAGAGGCGAAAAATATGAATTACTTCAAAGGTATACTGGAAGGAAAAGTACAGGACAAAAGATCAGTAGGAAGACGCCAGAACTCATGGCTGAAAGACCTGAGGAGATGATTCGACCGCTCATTCGCAGAAATCTTTCGAGCAGCAGTTTCCGTTCAGTCTTACGTGACATTTTTGAAATAAAACACACTAATTTTGTTCTGAAAGAACAAATTTTATTAAATAGGAAAAAATATAAAACAAGAGATATTCATTTTAAAATTCAAAATAATAAAGTACAAAAAGTGTCAACACCGCAATTGTCAAATAAGTATTACCAATTTATGCCAAAATTTTACCTTCGTTCGATTACAGTTACAGTGTGTTCCGAACAAATGTTCTTGATAAAAACGCTTTATAATGCATTTATACAAATTAAATGAAACATATTATTGTGTATTTCTTTAAGTTAACACTAATAGAAATTTTTAAATATTATTTCTACGCGTATATAATAAAATATGTCTAGTGGATGTAATGCCAGTGTACTCGGTAAAGTGATTCTAAAAAAGAACACACCTACCGCATAAATATTTCGTGTTGGTATCATGTGACCTCACAAGCTAATACGCCTATGACGTGCATCGTTATATAAATTAGATGAAGTGTACATCAGCAAAAATGCTATTTTAATTTCAATTTTATTTATGTGTGAAATCTTTTAATTTCTGTAAGTATTGTAAATCTAAGTGTACGTCAGTTTTTTGAAATGCTTGTTTTTTACAGTTACTTCCGATGAAGCTATTAAATACATGGCGAAATATTGAGCTTTAGAAAAAACAAAGATTTTTATTTAATATAGACCACATACCCGATATTTCCAACATATATATATATATATATATATATATATATATATATATATATATATACAGGGTGTCCAGAAACTCTCATGACAAATGACGAAATGTAATGACAAATGACTCATGACGAAAATCTGAGGTTCATCAGATAATTTTGAAGACAATTTAATTGAGTTCACCTAATCTCCAGTAACTTTGCCTGCAGTTTTGTTTGGTGGATCGAGTAACTCGACAGAACTTTTGTCGGTCACAATCCCGGATAACGGAGTAGGGGGTCTACAGCCAGGTTAGCACCCTACTGATATACTTACAAAATAGACCACAAAGATAAAAGTCGAAAGCTTACAGGATGACTCCGCAAGATATCTATTCCAAAAAAGAATAACTGAAGAAAGCAGAAACAAATATATAACAGAAAGTGATGGAGTAGAAAAAATTTGGGCAAAAATTAAGTACATTATCTTAACCTGGGCCAACGAAGTTCTTGGTGAAAAAAATGTGAATAAAAATAAATTGTTCATAAATAAAGGGTACAGGAATATAAGGAGTTCTTCGAAATTTTTTTGTGTTTTACAGCTTATCCAAATTATTGAATAAGCCACAATTAAAGGTTAAAGTACGTTTATTGACGTTTCAATTTCCACTTTAACCCCCTCTGTGGCTCAGTGGTAAGAGTGCCTACCTTTAAATCTAAAGGTCGTGAGTTCGAATCTCATCTGGGTGGATATTTTCTTTTATTAAAAATTAATAAATGAAAATAATTTGTATCCTTGTGCGATCGGTACTCACCAGAGGGACCGCAGACGTTCGAATACAATTAGCGTCTCTTAGCAAAGACAATGACGTCGACTTTGCTAAGTATCAAGACAATTACTCTACACACACACACACACAAACACACACACACACACACACACTAGGTACACTAGGTACCTGACTGTACCATGCCAATGATCATAGTTGTCGAGGCATTAACCCAATAAAAAAAAAATTTCCACTTCGTAAATCGTTCTGAAAACACGTATTTTATACAAAATTTTTAATACAAAAGGATACGTGGCTTGCCTACCTAAAATGCTCTATACAGAAGATAAAGACGAGATACCAAACAAATTGCTGAAATACTGTGGAGCAGTAATGACAGAATAATTCACTACATTAATTAATAAAATTATAAAACACAATAAAATACCGAAAGAATGAAGAACGAGCGAACTAATTCTACTATTCAAAAAAGAAGATAAAAACAGTCTACAAACTACATAAGTATAAACTTGTTAAATACTACCCTAAAACAGCAGGGTTTTTGTAGTGGAAGATCGTGTACAGATGCAATATTCGTTATAAAGCAAATTACTGAGAAAACACTAGAGTATAATAGATCAGCATTTCTGTATCTAATTTACCTAAAGAACGCGTTTTTCCGTATAATAGAGAAGTTTACCTAAACATTATAAAAACTATTGAAAACATCTATCAAAACAACAAAATGGAAGTCAGAGTAGATGGACAACTTACAGATCCTATAGAAATAGGCAACGAAATAAGACAAGCGAATTCATTGAGTCCCATGCTCTTCAATTTAATGATGGATGAAATTATCAAAAGCGTTAACAAAGGAAGATGATACAAAATGGAAACAACGAAATAAAAATACTCTGTTAGGCAAGACGACGCAATACTGATAGCTCAAGATGAAGATAGTCTGCATAGTAGTCAGCAAAGAACCAACCAGATGTAAAATAGAAATTGTTGAAATCAGTATTGAACAAGTAATGGAAATAAAACACATGGGAATTACATTGTCCAGCTATGGAGACCTGAACACAGAAGTGAAAGATTAAGTACAAGAATCAAATAGACTGGCAGGGTACCTTAATAACACTATATGACGAAACAGGCAAATTAATACTAACATGTAGTCAAGAATTTATAAAGCCAGTGTAAGACCTATAATGACATATGCCTCAGAAATAAGACCCGACACAGCCACAACGCAAAGGCTGCTGGAAACAGCAGAGATGAAAGTACTGAAAAGAATTACAGAAAATACGCTGATAAATCGAAAGAGAAGTGAAGACATTAGAAGAAAATGTAACATAGAGTGTATAAGTGAATGGAAACAAAATAGAAAAAAAGAATGGACCACATAAGCAGAATGGAGAAGACCCGTGTTGTCAACATAGCAAGAGATAAGTCACCAATTAGCACAAGAAATATCGGACGAATGCGGAAAAGATGGAGTGACAACCTTCTATAGAGGTATTAATCCGCCAATGACCAAGCAGAATTGTTTATAAAGAGGAAGAAGAAGAATACCTTACTTCCTTACTTACTTCCTAAGGGAGCTACAGACTATCAATTAAAAACAAAAAAAGGAGTAGATAAAGGATAAATGAAAATAAAAGAACAATCTACAAAAAGAATAGCAAAAAATCTTGTGAAAACGCAAAGTCCAATAAAATTACAATAAAATATTTTAATAAAAGGAACTGAATAGTCAATAAATTAATGTGATATTAAAATAAGTTTTGTTAAGATAAAAAGCAATATTCCCATTATTTGTTATACAATATTTTTTTTAGAAATAATCTTAATTAAATCCAACCCTTGATAAGATATTAATTCATAAATCCTAAACTACTACTAATAATAAGCCTACAAAATATGAACCAAAAATGGTAGAGGTAACTTTTTGGAATATCTCCATATGGAAAAGATCATATTGATAAAGATAAAACTTACGCAAACGACAACTTTGAAAAAACGTTTGCCGTTTCCCTGGGGTTTTGCTTTCTTCTTACTTTCTGATTATAGTCCATATTCAACAAAATCGCAAGAACATCTTTTAAAATTGCCGATTAAACTTTTGTGAAGAGTTTAGTAGATCATGTATTTTAATAAGATAATACTTTATCTGTTAAATATTTGTTTAAGACTACCGTACTTAGGATGACCTTTAAGTTTATTAATGTTATTATATGTAAGTTGATTTGTATGTCACATAAATAAGTGTACTTAGTTCAGTCAAATGGTGCACAAAAAGTCTCCCGAAGTTAAAAGTTTTCATACTATCATTTAGCTATTTGTGTACACTTATAACCTTATAACTTGGGGTTATAAAGTTATTTTTGGTAATAAAGATAAAAGACTGGATTGACGAAAGAAAAATAAAACCAGGCTTAACAATTTGATCAAACGAGAGATAAAGAAAATGGGGAGAAATTAGAGATTAGAGGCAAGTGATATTAAATGAAAGGGAATTTAAGTGACCGGATGGTCAAGCTGGTTCACTAAAATTTATAGAGTGGAGAGAGAGAGAGAGAGAGAGAGAAGAGAGAGGAGAGAGAGAGAGAAGAGAGAGAGAGAGAGATAGAGAACAATAAGAGGATGAGACGTAAATATTCAGGGAATGGAGATCGGCTGGCTTTTCGAGCCGTTGTAGAAGAAAATAGATGATGATAAGGAAACAATAGATAAAAACTGAAGATCACTGAAGAGAAAAGGAGTTAATAACAAAAAAAAAAGGATGGGCGCCAGGAGTAAAGATCTGTTGGAACTTCTACTCCGTTGATATTTCAGTGGGAGTGCTAGAAAGTATAGTGATAAACGATAAAAGTATGATTTAATCCTAAAAACTATTTAAAACCCAAATAGCTGAGAGATACCAGGTGTAGGTAAAGTAAAACGTAATATTAGTCTAGGCGGGATCTGTTTTGGATTGGACATTTTCCATAGGAAGCTATTTTTTTGCTGGAATCCCTTCAGGATGGGCCCAATATCGATAATCACGATATGCGCCAATCGTAAACCCTGTGCTAAATTTTTTTTCTCATTTCTCATTTTTTTGCTCCTATTTTCGTTTATAATTCGGAAAATATTGATCCTAGAGAAAAAATTATGAGAAATTAAAAGTTTCGTTATTCAATTTTACACAATATTTCGTTAGCTAGAAATTGAAAATTTTAGGCCCTCAGATAGTTGCAAATTTTTTTAAATATAAAGGAAGGCTCAAACTTTCAAACGCTTTTTGTAAAATGTAAATCGGTTCACTAGGAGAGCCTAGAAAATTTTTTAAAACACATTTTTTAGGCTTATAAACAAATTGAATAACTTTACGAGCTTTAAGCATATCAATTTCAAAATTTATACACTTAAAGAACATTAAAAGACGCTTCTTAAAAAAAAGATATATTCGGCTTACTGGTTGTCGAGATATTGAAGGTCAAAGTTGGCATACATTTGCCCTGTAACCATAAGTGATAGAGGGCTCGTTTTTAAACAAATATCCTCGTCTTGTCAAGAACTTTTTATATGAAAAGTTTTAAGTAAAGCGCTTCATGGCAACATCCATAAAAAAGACAAATAAAAAACCGTTTTCGCGTAAAATGTCGCTGGGAATTAACTCAAAATGGTCTTGAGCCAATACAAACTGAGCAGGTATTATATACTACCTGACTCATTATTCAGAAATATTAGTTGCAAATGTAAAAAAATTTGTACAAAAACATGCAGATGTATCAAACATGGTCTCAAATGTTCTGACTATTGTCTTCACTGCAATGGTCAGACATGTATAAATATTGAACACAGTAAAATATTGGAAGAAGTTGAACGAGATATGGATATGGAGTCGATGGATTCCTTAGATTTTCTAGAGGCACAAGATAAAGCTACAGATAAAGGAGAAGAAACATTAAATTTACAGATCGATGATGAAGATATTGAAATGGAAAATGAAGGTTTTGAGGAAGAAATAAGACCTGAATATTCTTATCCTTCCAAAAAAAAGAAAAAAAACTATTGAAGATTGAGCCAAAATAAAGTTTATTTATGAAAAATTTTTTTTTCTCGTTCGCCTTTGTTTTAACAATTTAAATTATTTATTAACAATTTCTAAATACATATTTGTTTACTAAAAGTAACAATTTACTTCAATGTATCGATTGTAAACTAAAAAAAAACAGTTTCGAGCATTACACAGCAGTATAACACGTACAATATACACGTCATTGTCGAATCAAAATATATTCTTAAATCAAATAATGTCATTATTATGATAAAACTGCAGAAATAAATTATTTTTAATGTAAAGTATTTTGAAAAGTTTGATTTTTACAAAAAAAAAAAAATCGTTCGCCTTTGTTTTAACAATTTGAGTTATTTATTAACAATTTATAAATACATATTTGTTTACTAAAAGTATCATTTTACTTCAATGTATAAATTGCAAGCTCAAAAAAGAATGCATGAAGAAAAAATGCAATTACTTGTTTAACCAACAATTTCCCAATTTGCAATTAAAAATGTTATTTGAAAATATGATATTTGAAATCCTTGTCGTCCGAGATCGATTAAAAAAAAGAGCAAAAGTGGTTAACAAGAAGCCGAGATAATGCAATTTTTGGCACGGCAAATGTATGCCAACTTTGACCTTCTATATCTCGGCAACCAGTAGGCAACCATCTTTTTTTAAAGAAGCGTCTTTTATTGTTCGTTAAGTGTATAAATTTTGAAATTGATATGTTTTAAGCTCGTAAAGTTATTCAATTTGTTTATAAGTCTAAAAATGTTTAAAACTTAAAAAAATTTTCTAGGCTCTCCTAGTAAACCGATATGAATTTTACAAAAAGCGTTTGAAAGTGTGAGCCTTTCTTTATATGTAAACAATTTGCAACTATCTGAGGGCCTTATTTAGGGCCTACTATAAATATGAAAATTTGCGACATTTTTCCAGTAGGCTGGATTGCAAAATTATTATGCAAAACCCATCTGACCGATCTTAACAAAATTTAGCACACGTTTTAAACATATTAAAAAGTTTTTCTAGGCGGAATATGGAGCTTGTAAGTCAAGTTTAAAAAGTCGAAAACATTTAAAGGATTAACTTTATTTTTTTGTACTTTTTTTTCCAATTATTGCTATTTTTTCAACAATAAACATTAAATTTTCAATTTCTAGCTAACGAAATATTGTGTAAAATTGAATAACGATACTTTTAACTTTATATAATTTTTTCTCTAGGATCAATATTTTCCGAATTATAAACGAAAATAGGAGCAAAAAAATGAGAAATTTTCAATTATTTTCAGATTTTGTTAAATAAAAAATTTAGCACAGGGTTTGCGACTGGCGCATATCGTGATTATCGATATTGTGCACATTCTGAAGGGATTCCAGCAAAAAATAGCTTCCTATGGAAAATGTCCATTATGGTCTGAATTTCTACAGATCCCGCCTAGTCTATATGTACAGTATGTGGTTTTATTATAGAAAAATGTAAAACATTGCTTAATTATATAATATATAATGTAAAGAAAATGTAAAATATATGATATACTTTTTTTATAAAGCTCCTTTTGTTTTAAATGAAAAAATTTTGACAATATTCAGACAGAAAATTTGAGTGATTTTATATTAAAACTTTAACAAGATACAGACAGAAAATTTTGAGTGCTAGTAACTGAGCCCATACATGGTTGTACTATGAAAAATTATAGTTAGAACAACACTTAATTAGCTTAATAATATTGTTTTACTTATACCCCTTTACATGCATTCGGTAATGCAAAATAATATCGTGTAATATATTAATTCAATTATATAAACAAAACGGTGAATATAAAGTGAAATTTTGATTTAAATCTTTATGAGTTAAAATACGTTTTAACGTATCAATCGTTCTCAACAAAATACAAAAATTAGTTTGTATTTTAAGAACGATTTCCGAAGTGGAAATTGTAACGTCAATAAACTTCTGGGAATTATTTATCAGAAGAATAGGGCCAACATGCAGCTAGGTATTATACAGTAAATTCGTTTTTAAATTCTCTTTACCAGCTGGCAAAGCAACCTGTGGTTGTAAATATTGTGCTTATAAAATAAAAATAATTTCTTTTTTGAAAATATGCCGAAAGTAGCAAAACAAAAATCAAGTCCATTGTGAAGTTGGGTTGGTGGCAACAGTGAAATGAAGATTGAAGACAAGGAAAGTATTTTCTGTACTATTTCTGATAAAAAGGTGAGTCCATTTATATTTTAACGATTCAAAAATTTTATTTAAAATCTCATTTTTGCAAGAAAATCGGTAATACTAAACATATAACCGTTTGACTATTGGCGGTAGTTTTAGTCCATATTATTGCATTGGACTTGGATTTATTAAACCGTTTTATTACAGATTCCATGTGAATAAAATTCCAAATTTCCCAACACCTGAAAACGGCTCTCCACCAATATAAACTATCTAAGGACTTCAAGTAACCACGCCAGCAGCTTCTTCAGAACAACATTATTCAAAATCGTCACACATTGACGGGGCAAGAAATGTTTGTAAAAGATGTACGCAGTTTTTTTGTAACTTGCAATATCCCACTTGCAATGTATAAATTGGATAGCAAGGTGTGTCAAAAATTTTTGAAAACATTGTGAAAATAAATCAGTACAGGTACCAAGTTATTTAACTCTTCGCAAGAAATATGTGAGGTCATCTTACAAAGACGTTATTGAAGGTATTAAAAGCCGGGTAAGAGATGAATATCTGTGGATATCTGTTGACGAGACTACTGACACCAAGGATCGGCAAATCGCGAATTTAATTATTGGAGTTAATTAATTAATTATTTATTGGATTAAGTTATAACTATAATTTTATTTCGTACCAAATATTAAGCCCTAAAAATTAAAAATATATTTTTTTAAAGTGCATATATAAATGCATATTGCATATAATAAAGGCATATTTGGTTAATTTTTAAGTGCATGTTGCATGCTTATTTAAACCATTTTTTAGAGCATATCATCCAGTCTCTAGTTATAACTTACCTCGCACGCGTAAAATAAACTTTTAATGAGTC